AAGTTATTTTCTAATGAAAGACAAGCTAAGTGCTTGTTGCTTCTATCGAATTATAGTGGTTCTTGAGAAGAATCATTTATTACGAGCAAATCAGTACTGTTTATCAAGTCCATCAATAGCAATATCGAATTAATGATTTACCAAAATATGGATCCATATCCTCTCTAATCATGTACGTATTTTTGTCTCCAATATTTGCGCAAAGCATAATGTTTTCAATAGAACAATGTAATGATGGAGCGTATTTCATTTGCAATAACCTTTTCGTCTAAACAAATTTGTTCATTTTTTATGTAGACTTGGACGGGAGGGATCATGTGTCCCAATGGATCTCCTAAGTAAATTAGCAAGAGAGGATGTCTTGGAATCAGGATCGTAGTATGGAGTACAGCAAGTTCTCCATGTAATTTGTTACCAGCAGCAACCTGTTCCGGGACGTGCAATATTTAGGCCCATTTCATTGTACTAGCAAGTAATGTTGTCCAGGGAATTCTTGCGGTGTTCGATTTGGATCCTGCCATCTCCACTTCTCATCTCAAAGAAAATTTTCATGCTTTTATGACTAGGTAGATTTTAGAGAAGAATCAGTAGAAGTTTGTGGTGTTTTATGTTGACCAGGGAGTCATGAAGATAGAAGTGAATATAATGGTAAATTACTAATTGTTCAAAATATACCAAAATCTGAAATAATAATGAGTTGGTATCAACTAATTAAAAAATTAGAATTTATTGCTTAAGGTCAAGAATTTAAATTATTGTAATGTTAAGTGGCTAACTTAATCATATGAAATTAACTTTATAAAATTTGTTTGTAATTTTTAAAAATTTTTTAGTTGTTATGATTCAAAAAAGTTCTTTTGTGCTTTATACTATTGTGTTTCAAGGATCATGTGCAAGCTAGGGTCGTCTCACTTGCATTTCCTGTTCTAATTATGACATCATTGACGAAAGCATGAATAAGAGTTTTAATAAATATATTATATATCTTCTCAAATTTTTGAGTCATAATTTTTAAACAAAATTATGCTTATTAATTACTTAATAAACTGTTATTACTTTCAGATATCAATCTAACCAATTCATTTATGCGGTCTAGTCTAATTTTCAAAATATTACTCCTCAGTGAAGTAAAATTGACTAGATTTATGAACTAGATGCCACTCCCATAAGCATGAGGCACTAACCACAACTTGCTCATGAACCACAAAAATGTTCGAAAGAATTCAGGAAAATACCTTGATGAAGAATATACATCTTGACTATTCAGAGACACATCTTAAACTCACTAATAGTTAATCTCAATTATATACAGAGTTACTCATTTAAATATGTCATGTGAAATTCATTCATATATATATATATACATACATATACAGTGGCGGAACTAAGATTTCTCCTTAGGTAGGGTCTTCTTGTTTTATCTCCACTTAGTATACTATAGTCATATAGAATGAATAAAGCAGATAAGAAATGGAAATGCAAAAGACTAAATTGTAACACAAATGAAACAGCAAGGATTGGACAAAAAAAAAAAAAACATTTCAAATCCAATTGAAGAATTAATGTGGGCTATTTCATTTTAGTGAATTAAAATATCGAAAATGTTATAGTTATAATGTCACATAATATTATAATATTGTAAATTTACAATATTATATATCATTATATAATTAGTTCTTTTCATTTAAGGATTTACTCGTAATATTATATACATCTATTTGTTTAATACAATATTATACTTATTTAATATCACATCATGATTGCCATTATAACTATAGTATTATGGTTAAAATATATGAATTCCTCTTTCTTCTTCGATGGCACCTAAACCTAATCAAACACTCAATCCTCCTTTATTTTTAATCTATTGCAATGAATTAAGAAGGATTTGTGTAAATTCTCTTCTAAAAGCTTTGTGAGAGCCCTGTTGAATAGTGTATTGGAAGCTAAACTCAATAAATTATGGGATAATATTGAGAAGTTTGTATTGGATAATACTCGGTTTTTAAGGGATGTAATTAAGAAGATATAAATGAAATTTTAACCTTTTAAAAAACAAGTTCGTTAATTTTAAAAATTCAAGTAACTTGAACAAAAGCTCTGGAATTGGTGGTAGCTATAAACAAAGAAAAAACACAAATCAAACGTGAAAGAGAAGGAAATTGTAACCATGAGAAATTAGGAATCAAAGCATTTGTATTGGTTTGCTACAAAGAGATCTAAATTTTGCAACAACTTTTTTTAGGGTATTAAATCTACTCATTTCTTTGATTTTAGTTAGGTTAAAACCCCTTTTTGGTCCCTGAACTATTGTACGGACCCC